AATACCCGAGCCCTGAAGCAAGCTTCCAGATAATTGGAACAGAAATGGCGCTCCACCAAACTGGAAGTCTTCCGACTAGCTTGGAAAGACAGTACAGTGCAAGATCGAAGAGCCCTCACTGCTGCTCGATCAGCCTACTTTTCCAACCTAATTGAGGAGAATAAAAACAATCCAACATTTATTTTTTATACTGTCAGAAAGCTAACTAAAAAGCAACATTCTCCAACAGAGGATGGCCTTCACTTCAGCAGTGATGAATTCATGAACTTATTCGACAAAAAGATAATGATCATTAGAAAGCAAATTACAGACTCCTCTTTGAATCTGCATATTTCTCCAAAACTCAGTCTGCACCAAACTGCCAGGATCTTGGATCATTGGAGATACTCAAGTTTTTTAATCCTGCATCTCTCTGCACATTCACGAAAATAGTAATGGCCTCTAATCCTTCCAGCTGCCTACTGGACCCTATTCCAACTAAACTATTGAAAGAGCTACTTCCTGTGCTTGGCCCTCCTATGTTGAATATAATAAACGGCTCCCTATCCTCTGGATGTGTACCAAACTCAGTAATAAAGCCTCTCGTGAAAAAGACAAAACCATGGCCTGGAAAATTAAAAAAACTATCGGCCTATATCGCATCTCCCGTTCCTCTCAAAAATTTTGGAAAAAGCTGTTGCGCAGCAACTCACTGCCTTCCTGAAGACAAGTAATGTATACAAAACGTTTTTACCTGATTGGTTTGATATTAATAGTTAAATGATATACTTACCAAATAGTAAGACATTTCTGTTCTACTAATCCTGTGTTTTTTTAAAGGGATGGTCTCCACTCTAGCTCCCTGCAGCTAATCTGGGCGAATGGTCAATAGAGATAGCTTGAGCTGACAATTGACTGAGCCTGCATTCCATAGACAAGATGTGGTGTGTGGAACTGAGATAGAGATAGCCTGAAGGAGTAGAACAAACATCTAATTGTTTCTAATCATCCTTGCCATCTGGGGGTAGAACAACACCCCGTGCAAATAACTAACAGATGAACCCAAAGTGGCTTATGGTGCCCCGGTCTGCATGGGAAGGGTGGAACCAGCCATGACTAAGCATTTTTAGATCTACTATATAAGGAACTCTGCATTTTCTGCATGTCAGAGCTCTCGGCCCAACACTCAAGAGTGTTGGGTCGACCAGCCTCACTTACTACCTTATTAATACGTTTTGAATAAAGTAATATCCTGATTGGTGATTGACCTTGTCTCTCCTCATTATTGATTAGAATTTCAACGACAACGCTCCAGTCTGGTTTTAGACCCCATATTAGTACTGAGACTGCACTCGTGAAGGTGACAAATGACCTATTAATGGCGTCAGACCAAGGCTCTGCATCTGTCCTCGTACTCCTAGACCTTAGTGCCGCTTTTGACACCATCGATCACCACATTCTTTTGGAGAGATTGGAAACCCTAATTGGTCTACACCGACAAGTTCTTGCCTGATTTAGATATTTTCTGTTGGAAAGATATCAGTTTGTGTCTGTGGATGGTTTGTCCACTGACAAATCAATTGTACGTTTCGGTGTTGCTCAAGTTTCCGTTTTAGGACCATTATTGTTTTCACTATATATTCTACCGGCCGGGATTTCCTTGTCTCATCGTGCTCTAGCGACTCCTTGTGGTGGGCCGGGCACCTGCAAGCTGGCTTCGGTTGTCAGTTCGACTGTGTTTCCTACGACACATTGGTGCGGCTGGCTTCTGGGTTAAGCGAGCAGTGTGTCAAGAAGCAGTGCGGCTTGGCTCTTGTCCTTCTCTGAGTCCGTAGGGGAGTTGCAGCGATGAGACAAGATCGTAACTTCTGGGCCATGGCGTTGCATGTGAATGTTTATCCTTTTGTATTTTTGTATTTTTGAATCCCCTTTTTCTCCCCAATTTCGTGGTATCCAATTGATAAAGTTTGAATTCATTGGCCATGCTGTCAATCCAGCATGACTTCTGCTGCGTTCAAAACAACTGGAAACTCGTAACTGGGAAATCTCAGACTTCAGTGAATTCAAGACAACTTGGAGCTCCGACTGGGAAAATATGGAAAATAATTTTGAACGGTCATCCAACTCAGAATTCCAAGTCAGGAACTCGGGCCTCTTTCTAGAGCCCACAAGAAGTACCGCCGTGCCACCTTCCTGTTCAAGTGAGCACAGCACAAGAAGGTGAGTCCAAATATTTATTGTATACTGTAGCCAAGAAAGTAATACTAAGTGTATGTTGTGTAGTAATCTGTTAGTATCCCATGTGCCTCACCCTAATAATTGGGTCCCTTTCCCCCCTCATAACTTAGCCTACGATGACGTGGATGTCGATTAAGGCAGCCCCCCGCAGCTCTCTGATTCAGAGGGGTTAGGTTAACCCTTTTTTTTTTCAATTTTCGCCTAAAATGACATACCCAAATCTAACTGCCTGTAGCTCAGGACCTGAAGCAAGGATCTGCATATTCTTGAAACCATTTTGAAGTTTGTGGAAATGTGAAATTAATGTAGGAGAATATAACACATTAGATCTGGTAAAAGATAATACAAACAAAAAAACATGCGATTTCTATTTATTTTTTTGTTCCATCATCTTTGAAATCCAAGAGAAGGCCACAATATAATATTGCAGTTTAGACACAATTTAGATTTTGGCTACTAGATGGCAGCAGTGTGTGTTTGCAAAGTTTCAGATTGATCCAGTGAAGCATTGCAATACTGGACTATTTTGTATCAAGTCTGCCCAAATGTGCCGAATTGGTCAATTGATACATTTTCAAGTATATAACTGTAGAGAACATACAAAAATGATATGGTAATACAAAATGTAAATTTACACACTCCCAGGAATGTCATACATGATGGATCATTAGCTTATACACTAACTTTCACACATCTAGATGGCCGGGCGGGGTGCGTGTGGAGCCAGAGACAGCAGGGGTTCAAACTGTAGAACCCAGTTCCCACATTTGAATATAAAAATGGATTTTATCAAACAAAACTATGTTACATTTTATCTCTGGGACCCTTAGGATGACAAATCAGAGCAAGATTACTGAATGTAAGCACATTATTTACCTTCAGAGGTGAATGTATCAAACCAGTTGCCATGATACGTTTTTTGTTGTTGTCCTCTCTCCTCAAACAATAGCATGGTATTTTTTCACTGTAATAGCTACTATAAATTGGACAGTGCAGTTAGATTAACAAGAATGTAAGCTTTCTGCCCATATAAGACATGTCTATGTCCTGGAAAGTTTGCTGTTACTTACAACAGTCATGCTAATCACATTAGCGCACGTTAGCTCAACCGTCCCGTATACGGGACACCGATCCCGTAAAGGTTAAATGCGGAAGACACATTTCAGTTGAATGCATTCAGTTGTACAACTGACTAGGTATCCCCCTTTCCTTTACTGTTCTGACATGGTGGTACACATGTAGCCTATAGCCTGTTTTAGAGAAATGTATTCATCGAATATTGTAAGAACTTTCATTGTCTGCTTACATGCCCCCTTTATTTATCCTACGGTTCTGACTTGGTGTAATACTGTAAGAACGGCCCATGCTCTATATTGACTACGTCCGTTCTAGCTCGGATGGCCTCTTATCCGTTCGTCGTTCCCATATGCCATAGTTTGTACATCTCAATTGTCAGTAGAAACCACATTTGTTTGAGCAAGTCAGCCTATCAGCTCTGTTTTTAAAACAGGCAGTAAATGAGGCTGAATGAACTGTTTCGCTGCCAGACAAGGCTCCGCTGATAGCCAGGTGTAGTGGTGGTAAGGATTCACTCCATGGTGCTGAAAAGAAAGCTCTGCTGTTGGGACAGCTTTATGTAGACCCTAACAGTTTGTTGGCACCGTTTGTCACCGTTATAGTGCAATGAATGTATTGTTAGTGTTGTGTAGTGTAGTGGCTTTGCTGGCATGCATCCCCAAAATATTATTTTTTTGCCACACATGCTAAAACTGCCACTGGCTACCTTGTCATGCTGCTGCTCCAGTTTCAACTATTCTGCCTGCGGCTATGGAACCCCGACCTATTCACCGGACATGCTACCTTGTCCCGGACCTGCTGCTTTCGACCCTCTCTCTCCCTCCCTCTCTCTCTGTCTCTACTGCACCTGCTGTCTCAACTTCTGAATGCTCGGCTATGAAAAGCCAACTGACATTTACTCCTGAGGTGCTGACCTGTTGCACCCTCTACAACCACTGTGATTATTATTTGACCCTACTGGTCATCTATGAACGTTTTAACATCTTGAAGAACGATCTGGCAGTAATGGCCATGTATTCTTATGATTTCCACTCGGCACAGCCAGAAAAGTACTGGCCACCCCTCAGAGCCTGGTTCCTCTCTAGGTTTCTTCCTAGGTTCCTGCCTTTCTAGGGAGTTGTTCCTAGCCACAGTGCTTCTACATCTGCATTGCTTGCTGTTTGGGATTTTAGGCTGGATTTCTGTATAGCACTTTGTGACATCTGCTGATGTAAAAATAGCTTTATAAATACATTGGAAAGTTACATATCTTGAAAACTTGATTGCTGACAAGCAAAACATTTTGGGACTATGTCAACAATGGACTAATGAAACAAATACCAAATAATAGTTTTTGGGTGAAGTTTTCCTTTAAGGCAGCCCCCACAGCTATCTGATTCAGAGGGGTTGGGTTGAACGCATTCAGTTGTGCAACTGACTAGTGCTGCATTCATGACAACTGGGAACTCAGAACTGGTAACTCGGAAATCTCCAACTTCCGACATCAGTTCATTCAAGACAATTGGGAACTCAGAAAGAAACATGCTCGGATGGGAAAAATTGTTTTGAACAGTCATCCAACTCTGAATTTCAACTCGGGAACTCGGGCCTCTTTCTAAAGCTCCGACTTTCCGACCTGAAGATCGCTGACGTTATGATTTGATCTCGTATTTTTCCGAATTCCCAGTTGTCTTGAAAGCCTTTCCCTTTTCCTTCCCACCTGGGACTGGCAGACTAACAAGGCTGCGTTCACAATACATAAACGGTTCTACCCCGTTACACTTGGTCTTCGATAATCCAGTGTGACTGTGAATTAACTGTTTTAAATTTCCGTTTATATAATTCGATACGAAATGCCAATATGTGACTTTTGGTAAGAGTAGTGCTTTACCAATAATTCAGACTGGCATTATCCCGGACAGCTACAGCCGGCTTCGAGGGGTCCTTCAGTCTTGGAGGAAGGATTAGCATCTAGCGGTTAGCCGTGGTCAACATGCCGACTGTCAGTGTCAAAAGGGATCTTCTGTTCCATGCCTTGGGCAGAACATACAGTAAGAAATGTTACTTACCATATCAAGTAATAGATATTCAGGAAATTTGACAATTAAACTAGTCTGTTTCTGCGTTGTGTTTTCAGACTGAAGGAACGTAGCTAAAGTGAGATAGCTACCTGGCTGCCGTGGCTACCTAGCTAGCTGCTGCATGTTTGAATGGATGGGCAAAGTGTTCACTAGCTTCAGCTAACAGTGGCTGATGCCGTGGCAATAACAGCGTATCACTCTTTTTGTGGGTTGTTTAAGAACATATCAAATATTTTACCTACACAACAACGGTATCTACTCTATTTCTACTGAATAGTGATTGAAAACATGATTTGATAGTGTTGACAGAACTGATGCTTGTTATTTCACGACGATTGCATCATTTCCCAGTCCAGACCTTCTAGCCTGCTACTGACTGACCACCACATAGCTACGTCCATTTAACTAGTAAAATCTAACTAAATTAAGAATGGAGGTGGGACCAAAATAAACGAATTAATCCAACAGATATTAAAATGTTATTCTCTTTCCCTTTCTTTCAGCTGATGAAGAATTTGATGAGTTGTGTTTTGAATTTGGGCTGGAGCTCGATGAGATTGTGAGTAGAAGACTGAGGATGAACCTCAACCATATCCACTTGTTTGTGTGATAACCAATTTAGTGTTTTCGGGCTACCCATCCTCCCTCTAACCCTGTCCTTCAGACCTCAGAGAAGGACATCATCAGTCGTGAACAGGGGGACACCAAGGCAGAGGGGGCGTCTGATGTGATTCTGTATAAGATCGATGTTCCAGCTAACCGCTATGACCTGCTGTGTCTGGAAGGACTGGTCAGGGGCCTGCAGGTCTTCAAGCAAAAGTATGTAAACACATCTATATGGAGAATTGTGTGCTTAAACATGACTCTTACATTGCCAAAGTACTTTCAGCTTGTGCTGCTTTATCGTGTGTGTTGTCTTCAGCTCTGTATTGACATGCCCATGTCCATGTGTGTCTGCGCTCCAGGATGGAAGCCCCTCGCTACAGGCGTGTGAGTCCAGCCAGAGGAGAGCCTCAGAGGCTGGTCATCACAGAGGAGGTGGGTGGAAAACACGGACCAGACTCTCTGTCTCTGTTTAATGATCTGGGTCTTAGGTAGAGTGTAGGGTAGGTTAATTTGGTCATCAGAGGAGGTGGGTGGAAAACACGGACCACCCCCTCTGTTTAATGACCTGGGTTCTGGACCGAGTGTAGGGTTGGTTCATTTGGTCATCACAGAGTAGGGGGGTGGAAAACATGTTATTTTAGTTTAATGACCTGGGTTCTGGGCAGAGTCTAGGGTTGATGTATGAACCACCACTGCAGTCCTTTGTGACAAGATGATTAATTAAGATATTGAACTGTTGATGAATGCCTCTACATTTGTAGAGGCTGTGCAAAGGAGGCTTTGGGTCAAGTGTTGGAAGTAAGAGAGTGGAATTTTAGAGATGAATGAGAGAATCCTGACTCTGTGGGGGCCCCTGTTTGTGCCTGTCGCAGACGGCTGCTGTGCGACCCCACGCTGTGGCTGCAGTCCTGAGGAACATCACCTTCACACTGGAACGCTACGACAGCTTCATTGAATTACAGGAGAAACTCCATCAGAACGTCTGTAGGTTAGTCAGACACCTAACACATCTCTACCTTCATATAAAAATATATATAATTCCCACACATACACAAGTTTGACCAACTCAGTGGCCTTGAGGTTAGTGTCCTGAGATTGGATGGTTGGGGGTTTGGTCCTCGGTCGAGTCATACCAAAGACTTTGATGCCTCTATGCTTGGCACTCAGCATTAAGGAAATTGATTGGTGGTAAGACCCTGCGACAGTCTTGCATCCTGTCCAGCGGGTGTACTTGTACATCAAAATGCCTTATGCTACAAAAATAGGAGATAGGGCCAGGAGCCTATTGGCTTGGACAAGGCTTACTTACACACACAATTTTACCTCTGCATATTTATTGTCAATGTTGTGGTCAGAGACCCTTTTCAATACCATGCCTCATACTTCATTGATTACTTTCAGTGTGTTCTTCTCTGGGAGTCTCTGAGATGTGTTGTCTCAGTGGAAGTTGTGACAATGTGTGCGAGTTGACTGTAATCTGTGCTCTGTAGGAAAAGGACTCTGGTTGCCATCGGCACCCATGACCTGGACACCATTTCAGGCCCCTTCACCTACACAGCCAAGCCACCTGGTGACATCCGCTTCAAACCTCTCAACCAGGCAAAGGAGTACACCGCACAGGAACTCATGAGCCTCTACAAGGTGAGCAGGGATTGGCTACAAAGATTATGAGCCTCTGTGATGTGAGTTGTGATTGGCTATGGCTAGAGATCTTTTATTTCTGTCATCCTATGTTTTCTTTGTATTTCTCCCTCTCAGACAGACAGCCACTTGCGACACTATCTGCACATCATTGAAGACAAGCCTGTATATCCTGTCATCTATGACAGCAACGGCATTGTCCTGTCTATGCCGCCAATCATCAATGGTGAGGACACACACATATGACCACAGGTTGTAAGGCAAAACTATTAACCTAGTGGACTTCCAATATTGATTAACCCATCGTATGCTGTAGATACTGTTCTAACAGTCCCCCCCTCTGTTGTTTTTTAGGGGACCATTCCAAAATCACCTTGAATACAAAGAATGTTTTTATCGAGTGCACAGCCACTGATCTTACCAAGGCAAAAATCGTGTTGGACATGATGGTGACGATGTTCTGCGAGTATTGTGAGGAGCCTTTCACGTGAGTCCAGGCAACAGCTGTTTAGATTTCTATCACTGAAATTAAATCACTAATAGCTAAACCTAATGTTTTTTTGTGTGTAAAATAAGACCATGAATTACTGGAAGTTATAGTCATAAGAAGTTCCTTTTCCCGGCCCCACTTTAATAGACTCCTCTTGATCTATGTCACGTTCTCTCTCTCAGGGTAGAGGAGGCTGAGGTGGTGTACCCAGACGGCAGGACCTGTCGGTACCCGGTACTGTATCCCCTTACCATCACTCTGCAGTCTGTTTCCTTTTGTGGGAAAATATACTGAACAAAAATATAAACGCAACATGTAAAGTGTTGGTCCCATGTTTCATGAGCTGAAATAAAAGATCCCAGAAATGTTCCATACGCACAAAAATATTTATCTCAAATTTTGTCCACAAATTTGTCCACATCCCTGTTAGTGAGCATTTCTCCTTTGCCAAGATCATCCGTCCACCTGACAGGTGTGGCATATCAAGATGCTGATTAAACAGCATGATCATTACACAGGTGCACCTTGTGCTGGGTACAATAAAAGGCCACTCTAAAATGTGCAGTTTTGTCACAAGACAATGCCACAGATGTCTCAAGTTTTGAGGGAGCGTAGAATTGGCATGCTGACGGCAAGAATATCCACCAGAGCTGTTGCCAGAGAATTTAATGTTAATTTCTCTACCATAAGACACCGCCAACGTCGTTTTAGAGAAGTTTGTTAGTACGTCCAACCGGCCTCACAACTGCAGACCACGTGTAACCGTGCCAGCCCAGGACCTCCACATCCTTCTTCTTCACTTGCGGGATAGTCTGAGACCAGCCACCCGGACAGCTGATGAAACTGTCTGTAATAAAGCCCTTTTGTGGGGAAAAACTCATTCTGATTGTCTGGGCTTGGCTCCCCAGTCGGTAGGCCTATGCCCTCCCAGGCCTACCCATGGCTGCGCCCCTGCCCAGTCTTGTGAAATCCATAGATTAGGGCCTAATGAATTTATTTAAATTGACTGATTTCCTTAAATGAACTGTAACTAAGTAAAACCGTTGAAATTGTTGAGTGTGGCGTTTATATTTTTGTTCAGTATCTATTAGAACCCACTGGTCTATGTAAATTCTGACTATCCCCATTCTATTCTATTCCTAACCCTCTACCGTCCTGCTATACCATGTGACCTCAGGAGCTAGCTTACAGGAAGGAGACTCTGTCAGCAGACTTCATCAACCGCAAAGTTGGCATCAGGTAACTAAGTGACTTAATATCCAACCCTGTTCCTGGAGATCTACCCTCTTGTGGGTTTTCGTTCCAACCCTAATCTAGTGCACCTTTCTAACAATTAGCTGGTTGATAAGATGAATCTGGTTAGTTACAACTGGGGTTGGAGTGAACCTACAGGAGGGTCGCTCTCCAGGAACAGGGTTGGAGACCCCTGCTCTAAATGCTAAGCAGAATGCTACCAACATTCCTGCAGATGCTTATAAATGGTTTACATTGTACATATTTAGCGGACGCTCTTATTCAGAGCGACTTACATTAGCAATTATGGTTAAGTGCCTTGCTCAATAACATACTTTTTTTCACCTAGTCGGCTCTGGGATTCGAACCAGAAACCTTTCAGTTACTGACCAAACGCTCTTAACCACTAGGCTACCTGCCACTGTTTAATGTTTGTAATGTTTTTTTGTCTCCAGTGAGTCGACTGAGCACATCGCCCAGCTGTTGACCAAGATGTGCTTGCGCTCAGAGGTCATGAGCGACGGCGAACAGATCGAGGTGGAGATCCCGCCCACGCGCTCTGACGTCATCCACGCCTGTGACATCATGGAGGACGCCGCCATGGCGTACGGTTTCAACAATATTCCCCGCACCACGCCACGCACCTATACCGTAGCCAATCAGGTGAGGGGATTTTTCAGCAGGTTATTCAGGAGTGAAGTTGATTGGTTGTTGACTGGAGCTGCTGGTTGGTTGGTATTAAGTGGTGATATCTTGTTTTCTATCTCATGACTTTGTTGTGTTTTTAGCTCCCACTGAATAAGCTGTCAGAGCTGCTGAGACAGGACCTGGCTGCTGCTGGATTCACGGAGGCCCTCACCTTCGCCCTGGTAATGACCACTCACTCATTCACTCTCTCTACCTCTGTGGACCCCAGGAAGAGTAGCTTCTGCAAAAGCTAATGGGGATCCAAATAAATAAACATATACACACATTTTCATGTGTTGTATCTGTCTTCCTGTGCAGTGTTCTCAGGAGGACATAGCTGACAAGCTGTTGAAGAACATCTCAGAGACCAGAGCATGTCACATCTCCAACCCCAAGACAGCTGAGTTCCAGGTGAACCACCATTACCTTCGATTAATCATGTCTCTGTGATAACATTATAAACAGTCCCCCTTTGGTCTCTGAATGATCTCTTACAATTGGTATAAATTACAGCAATTATCAAGTAAAACAGTTTAATGGCTTCTATCTCCCCCTGTTGATATGAGTGTTTCCTCCATAAGAGGGTGCTGTGTGACTGGGTGGGTGTGTCAGAGGCTGCTGGTGGTGTAAACAGCAGTGCTCGTCTTCTCCACCAGGTGGCGCGCACCACCCTGCTCTCAGGGCTGCTGAAGACTGTGGCTGCCAACAGGAAGATGCCTCTGCCCCTCAGGCTGTTTGAGATTTCAGACGTGGTGCTCAAGGATGGAACCAAAGGTGTGTTTGTGTGTGGGTGTAACCCAAGTATTCATAATGTAGTGTATTCATGGATATGTGTAGAAATAATGTCATTGTATGCCTGACTTTCTAATTTATTTATTAGGACAAACATTCATTTACATACTGATTCCCTCATACTCAACAATACACACACTGTCATAATCAGTTTTTAAAGACATCCTACAGTATATCCTAACGGCCACGTTGTCATCTCCTCTACTCTCCCTCTCAGACGTGGGGGCCAGGAACAACCGTCGTCTGTGTGCCGTCTACTACAACAAGAGTCCTGGGTTCGAGGTGATCCACGGCCTGATGGACCGGGTCATGCAGCTGCTGGAGGTCAAACCAGGCCAGGGCGATGGCTACCACATCCAGGCTGCCGATGGTATGACAACCAGGGAGCCATCTCTGTAGTTTAAACTGGACTCCGTTTCCTTCAATGGCAACTGATTGGTGAAAGCTCTGGATAGGTTTTCAGTTTTCACCATGGTGCTTTCAACTGACATGTCAAGCCTGTCCCAACTCAGTGGTTATGAAGGAAAGGAGGCAAGGAAAGGAAATGGTGTAAAACTATTGGGGCATGGCCTAAGTCCTACACTGGGATGACAGCACTGTCTCACTATAATAGTATTATAAATTGCAGTAGAAAACCTATCCAGAACTTTCACCAATCAGTTGCCATTGAAGGAAACGAAGTCCAGTTTAGACTACTGAGATCAAATCAAATTTTATTTTTCACAGACACGTGTTTAGCAGATGTTATTGCGGGTGTAGCAAAATGCTTGTGCTTCTAGCTCCGACAGTGCAGTAATATCTAACAAGTAATATCTAACAATTTCACAACATATACAGTACCCAATACACACACATCTAGTAAGGAATGGAATTTAAGAATATATACATATATGGACAAGCAATGACAGAGTGGCATGGACTAAGATGGACTAAGATACAGTAGAATATTATAGAATACAGTACAGATGGCCCAAGTCCTTAGAAAGTCCCATATCATAGCTTCACAGTTCATACCTATCCTCAACATACAGTTGTGGCTGTATTTCCCGAGCCGGAATTAAATATTGTGATTATAAGGGGTATTTTGTCTGCTCTAGTGAAGTGAATGTTTTTCCATTGCACTAATGAAGCTTGATCCACAAATCAGTGTTTTTTATGAGCTGTGGGTTCTGCAGGGCTCAAGTAGCTCTAACCCCTCCCACTTTCTTGCTCTCGCTCTCTCTCTCTCAAGGTCACACCTCTGGATGTGTGTGTCTCCTGCCACAATCAGACATTGGGGAAATCGATGGGCTCAAGTACCACAGAGGGAGAGGGATGAGGAGGTTGTGAAGAGGGAGAGCAGGGGTGCAGAGGACAGAGAGAGACTTGGAAATCAGGGGATAGAGAGGGAGGGAGGGAAAGAGCATATCGTTTCAGCAGGGGGAGTCAGACTGCATGTGAGTCACGTCTGCTGCTGCAGTGCGCCTGCCTGGGTTTACAGGGAGATAGACTGCCTGAAACAAACACTCACACTTATACAGCTACAGAAAACCAGTTAGACTGTCACATTTCCACCACTAGCACGCTATTATGCAGACCAGACACACAACACACATGCAAAAAACACATACAATCACAAAACATATATGAACAACACACACACAGAACTGTACAGAGCCTTCTAGCACCATTAGGCTGCTGAGCTCCACACTCCGTGTGTCCTTAACCCAATTACAGGGTCATGATCTTCTCCGAGAGCTCACCTGTAGAGTACCTCCCCTCCTGCAGGACCTCCTGCAATGCTACCCCATGGAAGGAGGGAGAGGGGGAGAGAGAGAGGGAGAGAGAGAGGGACTCTTAAGGAGCAGATGCCCACGTTTCACTTAACTATGTCAAATTCAGCCCTTCCCGTTCACTGTTAAAGGCATGCTTGACTGTCTGGTTAGTGTTGACCTTGGCTCAGAGAGAATTAATCTGAGAGGGTTTTCAGGGTGGGTGGAATAGGTTGTCACCTATTTAGCTATTAGTGTACTATTTTTAAAGACTGGTTGTCATGGTGCTGCCCTGCTTTGGAAGAGACACACACACAACATGTAGAGCGATTTCTTTAGCTAGTTATGAGTAAGCATCCGAACGGTGAGCTAAGGAATACATTAGCTTTTAGGAGCAAAGCCGCGTGGGAAGAAGTGAAGCACCATGGGAGAGGAGAACAGAACAGCATAGGAATGGATCTTGAGTCTCTCTCGTCTGTGTGGAAACATTTAGTCAGAGACTGCACTTTTTATGTTTATTATCACTGGACCACTGTGAGAAGCCTCTTCACCTCTCCTTCCTTCCCACCCCCCTCTTCTGTTTCCCCTTTTTCAGATTCCACCTTCTTCCCTGGTCGCTGTGCTGAGATCTTTGCCTGCGGGAAGAGCATAGGACGCCTCGGGGTCCTTCACCCTGATGTCATCAACCGCTTTGAGCTCACCATGCCATGCTCCGCCCTGGACATCGACATCGAGCCCTTCCTGTGATGTCACAACCACACCCTGGGTGTGATGTCACACCCAAACACACACCGAACCTGTAACACCACCAAACTCATCAACCAACACAGGTTCATTTACTCATGCTCAGTCCATCTCAACACAGGCTTTCTCAGCTCCAGCAGAGAACGGCCCAACCTGCCCCAGCGGAACTCACGTTTTCACACAAATCTCCCATTGACATCACATTGAAAGCTTGAGATATGAGTGCAAAAGTTAGGATTCGGCCCCAAATGACTTGTTCAGTTTAAATCACGCATGGTATTTCTGTTGGACAAATGTACAACAGTATATGAATTAACCATAGAAACTGTAGGCTGGTATATACAAAGTATGTGGCTGTATTTTTATCTCCATGGTAATTAAAATGAACATGAGATGTCAGCCTGTGTTTCTGAATTCATCTCAGTCCTGCTTCACATTAGCTTTCAACCCGTATACTGTACCATTTAAAGACTTTGCTCTGAGCAATGATATCGATTCCAGTCATTTACATTAAAAGGTTTGTCATACAGCATATAGGCCAAATGGACTGTATGAGTGTAAATAACAGGAAGCCACAAAGCTGTGATGTGTCTGACTGGTTTGGTCTTGTTAGGTGGGTTAATGCTCCTGGGCGGAGCTTTATCTACTTAATGAAAGATACAACAGGACATGAACTCTGACATACAGTCGTGGTCAAAAGTTTTGAGAATGACACAAGTATTGGTCTTCACAAAGTTCGCTGCTTCAGTGTTATGAGATATTTTTGTCAGATGTTACTATGGTATACTGAAGTATAATAGCATACTTTAGCTGTCAAAGGCGTTTATTGATAATTACATTAAGTTTATGCAGAGTCAATATTTGCAGTGTTGACCCTTCTTTTTCAAGACCTCTGCAATCCACCCTGGCATGCTGTCAATTAACTTCTGGGCCACATCCTGACTGATGGCAGCCCATTCTTGCATAATCAATGCTTGGAGTGTCAGAATTTGTGGGGTTTTGTTTGTCCACCCGCCTCTTGAGGATCGACCACAAGTTCTCAATGGGATTAAGGTCTGGGGAGTTTCCTGGCCATCGATGTTTTTTTCCCCGAGTCACTTAGTTATCACATTTGCCTGATGGCAAGGTGCTCCATCATGCTGGAAAAGGCATTGGACGTCACCAAACTGTTCTTGGATGGTTGGGAGAAGTTGCTCTCAGAGGATGTGTTGGTACCATTCTTTATTCATGGCTGTGTTCTTAGGCAAAATTGTGAGTGAGCCCACTCCCTTGGCTGAGAAGCAACCCATTTACATTTTAGTCATTTAGCAGACGCTCTTATCCAGAGCGACTTACAGTTAAGTGAGTGCATACATTTTCATACTGGCCCCCCGTGGTCTCAGGATGCTTTACTGTTGGCATGACACAGGACTGATGGTAGCGCTCACCTTGTCTTCTCCGGACAATGTGTTTTCCGGATGCCCCAAACAATCTGATAGGGGATTCATCAGAGAAAATGACTTTACCCCAGTCCTCAGCAGTCCAATCCCTGTACCTTTTGCAGAACATCAGTCTGTCCCTGAAGTTTGTTTTTCCTGGAGAGAAGTGGCTTCTTTGCTGCCCTTCTTGACACCAGGCCATCTTCCAAAAGTCTTTGCCTCACTGTGCGTGCAGATGCACTCACACCTGCCTGCTGCCATTCCTGAGCAAGCTCTGCATTGGTGGTGCCCCGATCCCGAAGCTGAATCAACTTTAGGAGACGGTCCTGGCGCTTGCTGGACTTTCTTGGGCGCCCTGACGCCTTCTTCACAACAATTGAACCTCTCTCCTTGAAGTTCTTGATGATCTGATAAATGGTTGATTTAGGTGCAATCTTACTAGCAGCAATATCCTTGCCTGTGAAGACCTTTTTGTGCAAAGCAATGATGACGGCACTGGTTTCCTTGCAGGTAACCATGGTTAACAGAGGAAGAACAATGATTTCAAGCACCACCCTCCTTTTAAAGCTTCCAGTCTGTTATTCTAACTCAATCAGCATGACAGAGTGATCTCCAGCCTTGTCCTCATCAACACTCTCACCTGTGTTAACGAGAGAATCACTGACATGATGTCAGCTGGTCCTTTTGTGGCAGGGCTGAAATGCAGTGGAAATCTTTTTTTGGGATTAAGTTCATTTTCATGGCAAAGAGGGACTTTGCAATTCATCTGATCACTCCTCATGACATTCTGGAGTATAAGCAAATTGCCATCATCAAAACTGAGGCAGCAGACTTTGTGAAAATTAGTATTTGTGTCATTCTCAACTTTTGACCACGACTGTACAATGCAGAACTGTAATTCTAGAGGTGTTTAGGTATGTTTGAATGTGATAAAAAAGGAAGGAGGTATCAAGGACTTACAAAAGTCAAGGGAGAAAAAACGGTCATAAATAACATGTTGAAAATAAAATCGGTATAATTCTGAATCTTTTAATTTGTCTTCAGTCTTTCAAAGTTACACAATAATGTGTGAAATACAGAATCAATGTATAAAATCAGAGGTATAAAAGGTAAAAATGTCAGAGAGAAATATACAAGGCACATTTTTATACAACACTTGCTAGGATCCTGTCATCATTCATGTTATATAGTAACAGCATTGGGTCATAGCAGTGCCAGTCCTATGAACAGTCTATTGACCAGAATAGAGTGGACCAGGCCTATGGATGTATAGGTGGTGAATTTATACGGCACCTCCATCTCCTTCCTTCTCCTGGCGTCTGTCTTTGACTGACACTCCATACCAGGAGCACAGCACCCACAGACTGGCTGTCTTCACCATCTGTCGAGTCGCCACCAACGCCACGACACCCACCACAAAGCGGGCGCTGCCCAGGGCTAAGCCACCCAGTGTCAGTGCTGGCAGGGGTACGGGTAACACCCCCTGGGGCTCAAACATCACCCCCAGCCTCTCATTCACTCAGTAGCCCACAGAACAGCCTGCACCCACCCCCAGGATGGTAGTGGTGTAATGGTCCAGCACAGGGTAGGTGAAGCTCAGGAAGAAGGCCAGTACCAACGCCCAGACGGGGGAGAGTAGGGAGGTGAGCTGGAGCCGGTCAAATGTTTCCCAGTATGGATAGGTGGCTGAGATTAGAGCACCACAGATCACATCCTGAAACCATCAGGGAGGGTGAGTATATAGAGTACATGTATTCTATACATTTTTGTAATTGCTTAGACAGACATATTCATAGTAGTTTGAAGGGTGATGTGGTCTTTATGGTGATGAAGTGCTGGTCTGAGTCAGAGGAGGCTGGTGGGAGGAGCTATAGGAGGACAGGCACATTGTAATGGCTGGAATGGAATTAATGGAACAGAGTCATACATGTGGTTTCCATATGTTTGATACCGTTCCATTCATTCCTTTCCAGCCATTATAATGAGCCCATCCTCCTATAGCTCCTCCCACAAACCTCCTCTGGTCTGAGTGTTGTACTGGAACCTCAGTTATCTCAACTTTACTCCAAAAACTCTTTACAGGTCATAATGAACTACTTATTCTTCTGTAATGGCATGATGAATGTGAAAGGCAGGGCCCCCTAGTTAAGAGTGCCAGCCAGACATACAGTATGAATAATAAATCCTGCATTGGATCTGAATGTTTTATACAGTACTTTATAAAGTACTTTATAGAGTACTGTCGGGGCAGAGGAAGAGACTCACCAGATCAGAATGCATGCCTGTGTACAGACGACTCAGACACACCCACACAGACAGCACCACCGCCACAAGCAGACCCACTACAAACTGGAACTGTGGACAGAAAATAGAGGTACACACACAAATCACACTCAGATGTGGGTGCACACACACAAACACACATACACAACTACAAAATACACAACTATTTTACATTTCATTTACATTTCAGTCATTTAGCAGACGCTCTTATCCAGAGCGACTTACAGTTAGTGAGTGCATACCATTTTCATACTGTCTGATGAGACATTCTCTGATACTTTGATAAATGATGGATACGATCTGAAAACCTCATCAGCTTGGGACTGTCAGACTATGACGGTGGAACCAAGAAATTCCCAACATTTTTCTGTACAGAGAGTATCGGAACGTGCTTAACCCACCTAGCCAATCGGAGGGAAATGGACGTATTGCTTATACACCTATCCATTCCTCCAGATCTACACACGGCTCTAGGGGTAGGGGTTGTTTCTGGGCAGGGCCACTTCTTTCTCTCCTTCTCTCGTCTTCTTTGTCTAGCCTTTTCCTCCTGTTGATATTTGATCAAGTCCTCCATTGGTCAATCCCCCTAAGACAACTACATCTTCTATCTGTCATCCATCTATTCTGCCACTTTGACATATGGACTGCCTTAAAGTCTTCCTCTCTTTTACACAACGGTCTCTCTCCATCTCTCCTTCCCTTCCCGCTCCCTCCTTTATATTATTTACCTGTTTGTGTTTTTGTTTCCCTCCATTTCAATGACAGTGAAGAGAGCCCATGTCATGTGTATTCATTGACCTTCTTTTCTCCTTTTCCCTCCCTCCCTCCCTCCCTCCCTCCCTCCCTCTTGCAGCTGGGGGGCCTTTCAGAAGAAGTTAATGAAGAGAGGACTCTGAATGGACACAAAGGATGCTGGGATGGAGGGGCCACTGTGATTGACTGTCCTGACCTTTCACCCCTCAGAACCTAAGAGATCGCCTCAGGCCATTCAGACCACTGCACCAGACCACTACACATCTATAGCTATGTGCCCTCTCTGAAACAGAAACTAAGTCACCACTGCACCAGACCACTACACATCTATAGCTATGTGCCTTCTTTGATTCTCAGAAACAATGTCACCACATGCATAGCTATGCATGCTCTCTCAGAAACAATGTCACCACATGCATAGCTATGCATGCTCTCTCAGAAACAATGTCACCACATGTACAGTGAGGGAAAAAAAGTATTTGATCCCCTGCTGATTTTGTACGTTTTCCCACTGACAAAGAAATGATCAGCCTATAATTTTAATGGTAGGTTTATTTGAACAGTGAGAAACAGAATAACAACAAAAAATCTAGAAAAACGCATGTCAAAAATGTTATAAATTGATTTGCATTTTAATGAGGGAAATAAGTATTTGACCCCTCTGCAAAACATTACTTAGTACTTGGTGGCAAAACCCTTGTTTGCAATAACAGAGGTCAGACGTTTCTTGTAGTTGGCCACCAGGTTTGCACACATCTCAGGAGGGATTTTGTCCCACTCCTCTTTGCAGATCTTCTCCAAGTCATTAAAGTTTCGAGGCTGACGTTTGGCAACTCGAACCTTCAGCTCCCTCCACAGATTTTCTATGGGATTAATGTCTGGAGACTGGCTAGGCCACTCCAGGACCTTAATGTGCTTCTTCTTGAGCCACTCCTGTGTTTTGGGTCATTGTCATGCTGGAATACCCATCCACGACCCATTTTCAATGCCCTGGCTGAGGGAAGGAGGTTCTCACCCAAGATTTGACGGTACATGGCCCCGTCCATCGTCCCTTTGATGCGGTGAAGTTGTCCTGTCCCCTTAGCAGAAAAATACCCCCAAAGCATAATGTTTCCACTTCCATGTTTGACGGTGGGGATGGTGTTATTGGGGTCATAGGCAGCATTCCTCCTCCTCCAAACACGGCGAGTTGAGTTGATGCCAAAGAGCTCGATTTTGGTCTCATCTGACCACAACACTTTCACCCAGTTCTCCTCTGAATCATTCAGATGTTCATTGGCAAACTTCAGACGGGCATGTATATGTGCTTTATTGAGCAGGGGGACCTTGCAGGCGCTGCAGGATTTCAGTCCTTCACGGTGTAGTGTGTTACCAATTGTTTTCTTGGTGACTATGGACCCAGCTGCCTTGAGATCATTGACAAGATCCTCCCGTGTAGTTCTGGGCTGATTCCTCACCGTTCTCATGATCATTGCAACTCCACGAGGTGAGATCTTGCATGGAGCCCCAGGCCGAGGGAGATTGACAGTTATTTTGTGTTTCTTCCATTTGCGAATAATCGCACCAACTGTTGTCACCTTCTCACCAAGCTGCTTGGCGATGGTCTTGTAGCCCATTCCAGCCTTGTGTAGGTCTACAATCTTGTCCCTGACATCCTTGGAGAGCTCTTTGGTCTTGGCCATGGTGGAGAGTTTGGAATCTGATTGATTGATTGCTTCTGTGGACAGGTGTCTTTTATACAGGTAACAAGCTGAGATTAGGAGCACTCCCTTTAAGAGTGTGCTCGTAATCTCAGCTCGTTACCTCTATAAAAGACACCTGGGAGCCAGAAATCTTTCTGATTGAGAGGGGGTCAAATACTTATTTCCCTCTTTAAAATGCAAATCAATTTATAACATTTTTGACATGCGTTTTTCTGGATTTTTTTGTTGTTATTCTGTCTCTCACTGTTCAAATAAACCTACCATTAAAATTATAGACCGATCATTTCTTTGTCAGTGGGCAAACGTACAAAATGAGCAGGGGATCAAATACTTTTTTCCCCTCACTGTATAGCTATGCCTGCTCTCTCAGAAACATTGTCACCACATGCACAGCTATGCATGCTCTCTCAGAAACATTGTCACCACATGCACAGCTATGCATGCTCTCTCAGAAACAATGTCACCACATGCATAGCTATGCATGCTCTCTCAGAAACAATGTCACCACATGCATAGCTATGCATGCTCTCTCAGAAACAATGTCACCACATGCGTAGCTATGCATGCTCTCTCAGAAACAATGTCACCACTGCAGCACACTACCACTGTTTCTGAGGCTGGTGTTGTTTGAGTAGGTGATTGATTGTTGTGTGTGTGTGTGTGTGTGAGTGAGTGAGTGAGTGAGTGAGTGAGTGAGTGAGTGAGTGAGTGAGTGAGTGAGTGAGTGAGTGAGTGAGTGAGTGAGTGAGTGAAAGAGAGAGCATAGCCTTGCTATTGAGAAAGGCCGCTGTAGGCAGATCTGTCTCTCAAGAGAAAACAGGCTATGTGCTCACAAAATGAGGTGGAAACTGAGCTGCACTTCCTAACCTCCTGCCAAATGTATGACCATATTAGAGACACATTTTTCCCTCAGATTACACAGATCCACAAAGAATTTGAAAACAAAGCCAATTTAGAAAAACTCCCTTATCTACTGGGTGAAAAACCACAGTGTGCAATCACAGCAGCAGTGAAGAACAAACACCATTGAATACCCTTTTATATTTCCATACTTAACTATTGCACTACACTGTATATGCATAATATGACATTTGTTCCTGATCATTTGTCTTTAAGGGTTACTATTTGCACATCTTGTTTACAGTACTCTGTATATAGACAGAAATGAACGGATTGGGGATGGGCCCTGTCCGGGGGTTTCTTCGGATGGGGCCACAGTGTCTCCGGACCGCTCCTGTCTCAGCCTCCAGTATTTATGCTGCAGTAGTTTATGTGTCGGGGGGCTGGGGTTAGTTGGTTATACCTGGAGTACTTCTCCTGTCTTATCCAGTGTCCTGTGTGAATTTAAGTATGCTCTCTCTAATTCTCTCGTTCTCTCTTTCTCTCTGAGAACCTGAGCCCTAGGACCATACGTCAGGACTACCGGGCATGATGACACCCTGCTGCCCCCAGTCCGCCTGGCCTTGCTGCTATTCCAGTTTCAACTGTTCTGCCTGCGGCTACGAAACCCCTACCTGTCCCAGACCTGCTGTTTTCAACTCTAAATGATCGGCTATGAAAAGCCAACTGAGAGACCTGAGCCCTAGGACCATACGTCGGGACTACCGGCCGTGGTGACTCCTTGCTATCCCCAGTCCGCCTGGCCTTGCTGCTATTCCAGTTTAAACTGTTCTGCCTGCGGTTATGGAACCCCTACCTGTCCCAGACCTGCTGTTTTAAACTCTAATGATCGGCTATGAAAAGCCAACTGAGATTTATTCCTGATTATTATTTGACCATGCTTGTCACTTATGAACTTTTTGAACATCTTGGCATGGTTCTGTTATAATCTCCACCCGGCACAGCCAGAAGAGGACTGGCCACCCCTCATAGCCTGGTTCCTCTCTGGGTTTCTTCCTAGGTTTTTGCCTTTCTAGGGAGTTTTTCCTAGCCACCGTGCTTCTAACACCTGCATTACTAGCTGTTTGGGGTTTTAGGCTGGGTTTCTGTACAGCACTTCGAGATATTAGCTGATGTAAGAAGGGCTATATAAAATAAAATTGATTGAAAATTGATTGATTTGAAATGTCTTTATTCTTTTGGAACTTCTGAGTGTAATGTTTACTGTTAATATGTATTGTTTATTTCACTTTTGTTTACTATAGAGCGAGAGAGAGAGAGAGAGAGAGAGAGAGAGAGAGCGAGAGAGAGAGAGAGAGAGAGAGAGAGAGAGAGAGCAACACAACTGGACCCAACCCAATCATGAGAAAAAAAGATAATTACTTGACACATTGGATAGAATTTACAAAAAAACTGAACAAACTAGAATGCTATTTGGCCCTAAACAGAGAGTACACAGTGGCAGAATACCTGACCACTGTGATTGACCCAAAATTAAGGAAAGTTTTGACTACGTACAGACTCAGTGAGCATAGCCTTGCTACTAAGAAAGGCCGCCGTAGGCAGACCTGGCTCTCAAGAGAAGACAGGCTATGTGCACACTGCTCACAAAATGAGGTGGAAACTGAGCTGCACTTCCTAACTTCCTGCCAAATGTATGACCATATTACAGACACATACTTCCCTCAGATTACACAGACCCACAAAGAATTTGAAAACAAATCCTATTTGGATAAACTCCCATATCTATTGGTTGAAATACCACAGTGTGCCATCACAGCAGCAATATTTGTGACCTGTTGCCACAAGAAAAGGGCAACCAGTGAAGAACAAATACCATTGTAAATACAACCCATATTTATGTTTATGTATTTTCCTTTTTGTACTTTAACTATTTGCACATCATTATAACACTGTATATAGACATAATATGACATTTGAAATGTCTTTATTCTTTTGAACTTTTGTGAGTGTAATGTTTACTGTTAATTTTTTGTTGTTTATTTCACTTTTGTTTATTATCTATTTCACTTGCTTTGGCAATGTTAACATATGTTTCCCATGCCAATAAAGCCCTTAAATTGAATTGAAATTGAATTGAATTGAGAGAGAGAGAGAGAGAGAGAGAGAGAGAGAGAGAGAGAGAGAGAGAGAGAGAGAGAGAGAGAGAGAGAGAGAGAGAGAGAGAGAGAGAGAGAGAGAGAGAGAGAGGGGGGGGGGGGCAGGACAGACTTATCCTTGGTGAGAGATTGACAGTCATTTACTCTATGTAGTCAATCAGAGGAACAAACAGCAGCTGTGTGGGTGTGTCTGATGGTGACTGATGGTGAGTGGCCACTCCGCCGCTCCCAGCACATTGTCCAGGATGCGTAGTCAGGACTCAGGGTCATGATTGAGGAGAGACAAGCCCCCTTAACAGGAATGCTTACACCTATTTCAGGTCCTTCAAATCTGCATACATTGAAGGTCTAGAGGTTAGGGGTTGTTTCCGGATAAGGCTGTACAGAGTCCGGCAAACTACACTGAACAAAATATAAATACAACATGTTGGTCCCATGTTTTATGAGCTGAAATAAAAGATCCCAGAAATGTTCCATACGCACAAAAATCGTATTTCTCTCAAAGTTTGTCCACAAATTTATTTACATCCCTTTTAGTGAGCATTCCTCCTTTGCCAAGATAATCCATCAACCTGACAGGTGTGGCATATCAAGAAGCTGATTGAACAGCATGATCATTACACAGGTGCACCTTGTGCTGTGGACAATAAAAGGCCACTTTAAAATGTGCGGTTTTGTCACACTACACAATGCTATAGATGTCTCAAGTTTTGAGGGTGTGTGCAATTGGCATGCTGTCTGCAAGAATGTCCACCAGAGCTGTTACCAGAGAGTTGAATGTTCATTTCTCTACCATAAGCCACCTCCAAAGTCCTTTTACAGAATTTGGCAGTATGTCCAACCGGCCTCACAACCGCAGACCACGTGTAACCACGCCAGCCCAGGACCGCCACATCCGGCTTCTTCACCTGCAGGATCGTCTGAGGAGGGGGGGGGGGGGGGGGGGGGGGGTGAGGAGAGAGGAGGAGAAGAGGAGAGGAAAAGAGGAGAGGCGGATAAGAGAGGAGAGAAGGGTAAGTCTTCATAAAGGGCTTTAATAATACATTTTATTGATTGGTTAGAACTCTGTACACTTTTACTGTGCAAAGAATAAATCAAAAACATTCTAATGTATGAAGCTAACCTGATTGATTGTTCAATGCTCCATTAAGAATGGCCACACAGTATCCTATAAATAAGTAATCATTCAGTCTGTAGTAACCAGTTTGAAAGAAGACGCAAGGAACACTTCTATAAAAGGACCACAGTCTGCAGTTGCTCAGCAACACAATCTACTGTAATAATCAAAGACAACCATAAGCTGCTGACACAATGTCTTCAGTTGATGGTGACTGTGTACCCATACAGTAACACAGACACACTCCACAGAGGCCCTGTACAAACTCAGGTTCTGACACTATGGTTGTGAAACAACTGATATTTTAATTCAACAGAGAGTTTGTGCAGGAAAACGATGTTGTATCACAACCGTTGTGCGACAAATATGTTGTACATCAGTTGTACAACCTGAGTGTGTACGGGGCCAGAGAGGGTGTGCAGTGTGCAGGCCATGCCAGGCCAGGGATGTGCGGCCAATCAGTACACACTGACTGTCTACTACACATCCTTAGGAGATGCCGCTAGTGGGACACGGGGGCTGACCCTCCACCCAGGCTGGAGTTGTATTTAGCTCTGCCTTTTATATTTAATGAGAGAGAGAGATAGAGATAGAGAGAGAGAGAGAGAGAGAGAGAGCACGAGAGAGAGAGAGAGAGAGCGAGAGAGAGAGAGAGAGAGAGAGAGAGAGAGAGATGGGGTAGGAAAGAGTGCGCGAGCTACAGAAAGAAGGATATAGAGGTGGAACCATGACTATTCCTACTGACAGGATGGGGACACTATAATCAGTGAGTGTTTGAGTAACCATGGTCCATGAGAGATAAAACTGCCTAGGCTTCTTATCATGGTTAGCATAGCAACCAGAGATTATAGACTGAAAGAGGGAAAAGAAGAGGAGAAGGGAGGGAGGAGGAAAGAGAGTCACTATCTATCTCTTTAGCAATCAGCCGCTTGTTCCCTGGGAAGAAATACTGTCCCTGATGCTACTGCCTCCAAGACACGGGCACAATTTACTCTGCCTCCACGCCAATGGACATTTATTTATACATCAATGCTATAGTTGTTATGATGTATATAGTGCTATTTCTATTTCTGTTGTTGTTTTATATTACCATTTTCATTGTTTCACTGTACCCTGCAATCACATCTGCAACCTCTGTACATGTGACTATTAAACACTCTGAATCTGAATAATAGTGTACCCTGCCCTTGTTGCCAGGCCACCAATCATATCAATCCCACTGGTACTGTCCACAGAGCAACCCATACAGTGGGATGACACATTAGGCTCTTTGTGTGGCCCACATCAAAGGACTGGCCAGGCACCATCACATAAAGAGATGAGTTAAAGATGGTCCAGGTCATAAACAGATAGTAACAGCGCAGATTTAGCTGAATGAATGAGAGTATTGATCGGGCCCAGTGTCGCTCTGGACTTCGATCTGTCAACAGGGGAGGGTGGTGAGAAAGGAGGGGTGGGGTGGGTTGGGGAGGAATGGGCTGTTCCTGCAACAAGATCTCATCGCTTCCTTTCGAAATGTGATATATTATGAATGAACATCTATTTTGGATGCATTTATTTCTGCGTGGTTACAGCAGCAATTCCGCATGGTTACAGGGTTAAAACATAAACAACTCAAAGGTTAAGAGTTTAGGCATTAATTAAGAGTGGTTAAGGTTAGGGCTACGGTTTGGGGAAGGCTTAAAACAAAATAATAAAAAACAACACAGTTGGTTTGTTTTATATTATGTAATAAATGCTGGTTTAAATCCTGTCAATACAGCATGCTTTAGGAAGAGGACCAGAGTGGAGAGGGTCACAGTCTCTAATTCAGTGATGTTAGTTAAGATCATTAAGAAAATCCATGTGTTACCATGGCAACTGAAGTTACCCTGTAAGTAAGGTGTGTGTGTGTGTGTGTGTGTGTGTGTGCGCGCGAGGGGACAGCGTGAACCCTAGAAAACACCAGCTTCACAATAAGAGGGGGCTTTACAAGTGCAGGGCTGTTTACCCTGAGGGCAGTCAGACCAAATGGTTCCCAGAGAGAGAGAACCTCAAAGCAATGACGAGGTCAATAAAACAGGCTGACCAGACTAGAGATCAACTTAGGTTATAATGTCTAACTACACTCTAGAGTAACTATGTGTGTGTGACTGTGTGTGTGTGTGTGCGCGCGCATGTGTGTATGTGTGTGTGTGTGCGTGCAGTGAGCAAGTGAGCGTGTTTTGTTGGAGTTTACAGGTGTCTGGGTGTTCAGAGTTCACTCCACAAACTGTTCCTCCCCTGGGGCAGAACATGGGCAGGTCGCTCAGAGGACACACACCTTGTGCTGGAGGAGAGGAAACAAACTCACTGTCACTCACTGTCAGAGAGTGTGTGTGTGTGTGTGTGTGTGTGTGTGTGTGTGTGTGTGTGTGTGTTTGAGCTTCATGGACAAAGCATAACTAGATGCAGGAACATGGATGATCTATGAGTATAAACAATTAATTATTTGATTGTTTATAACTCAGTAATAAATAGTTATGATACAATGGTTGAAATTGTGTGATTGTTAATAGGTGCTAGCCAAATAGTGAGTCATTTAGGGACCCTCCTGTTCTGTCCTATTGCCGGTCCTTTTACCCTGTAGCACCAGTCAACCTGGCCCCTGTGGCCAGGACCAGGTCAGAAAGGGGTAAGGGGGGTCAGAGAGGGGTAAGGGGTCAGAGGTGAGGGAGAAGAAGAGCTTTATTCTCTCTCTCTCTCTCTCTCTCTCTCATACATATTTCCAATAGTTTAACATGTATTTTCTGTAATGAAACCGCAGGTGTAAATTTAATAGGTAGCAGTGGAAGAGAGAGAAAATATTTATGTGTGGGAGGATGGTTTGAAGAGCAAAGACTCTCTTTTTGCAACCACAGGTGATTTACGGTCCAGATGTTGACGAGGCGTCTGCAGAGGAAGGGGTCTAGGTTCCAGTGTAAGCAAGGCGGGAAGATGATGTAGAAGACTTTGTGACCCAGCCCAGCTGACACCAGGAACAGCAAGTATAGCAGCCGATTCTTCACCTCATACAGGGGCCTAGCAGACACCTGTGGGTGGGTACAGAGTTAAGACCTCACATATTCGAAGAGGAGTAGTCTCTCTAGACCAGGGATCATCAACTAGATTGAGTCGCAGGCCAATTATTTATTTAGCAGATGGTCAGGGGGCCGGTACATAATAAGACTGCAAATTGACCGCAAGAAGCCTAAACAGATATATAAAGTCTCCCGAGTGGCGCAGTGGTCTAAGGCACTGCATCGCAGTGCTAGCTGTGCCACTAGAGATCCTGGTTTGAATCCAGGCTCTGTCGTAGCCGGCCGCGACCGGGAGACCCATGGGGCGGCGCACAATTGGTCCAGGGTAGGGGAGGGAATGGCAGGCAGGGATGTAGCTCAGTTGGTAGAGCATGGCGTTTGCAATGCCAGGGTTGTGGGTTCGATTCCCACGGGGGGCCAGTATGAAAAAATTAATAACAATAATACATGTATGCACTCACTAACTGTAAGTCGCTCTGGATAAGAGTGTCTGCTAAATGACTAAAAATGTTTTAAAAAATGTAAAATAATATTTGACTAAAACATAATCATTTCAAACCTTGATTACATTTGGGGACATTGCCCTGCGTAGGGTACTGTCTTTCGGATGGGAAGTTAAAACGAATGTCATTCAAAATCCCATGGCACTTATTGTAAGAGTAGGGGATATATTGGGATATATCACTCCTCACCTCTCCACCTGATAGCTGATGTGTGGTGAGCGTTCTGGCACAGAAATGGTTGCTGTGCATCACTGAGGTGGGTGCTACACATTGATGGTGGATGAGGTGAGTTTCCATCTACTATGTAAAGCGCTTGAGTACCTCAGTTGGTAGAAAGGCACTATATAAATCAAATCAATTATTATTTATTATTTCTATACGATCACAGATGTCTCTCTATTATGCGTGGGGATACTTGGGAACAGAGTTCCAAAATTAAAATCACTCGGAGCTGATTTCCTGGTGTTTTACAGTATTTTATGTCCAACAATGAAAATTCCAACAAAAACAAACAAATATATATATATATAATTGTTCATTTATTTGCTCAGAAAACCACCGGAGGGCCAAATTTGGCATGCAGGCTGCCAGTTGGGAAATATCTGGGATATCTGACACTAGAAGAGGAGGGAAACCTTATTGATTACAGTAAACGTTTTACCACTCATTCACAGTGTAAAAGCACAGTAGCCTACAGTATAATAACAAAAAGGAGGCTCATTGCAGGTCATTGTCATTCCTATAATTGTCTCTCCTCTGTAACCATATGCTGACCAAGATAACCACTTGTAGCCTCAAAAATAAACATATGTGAAATGAACTATTTGTATATGGCCTCGGCTCGACCTGTACAACTTGTACAAGTTGGCAGGAGCAGACTCCTGTAGAAAATAATAGACCATGGAGCATTGTTATCAATTCCAGCCTTTGGACAGCTTTGTCAGTTGCAAAGTCGTTATCTCATGGGTCACATGGATAGCCTATGAAACGCGATGAATGGCAAATATTTTGTATTTTGGAAAATAATTTCACCAAAGATGTTTTAGGCACTGCCATTTCCGGTAGTCACCATCAGGACCTCCAATGTGTAATGGCGGGAAAAGAGAAACAGAACCACGTGCGGCAGATCCAGTTGTGACATCATCCTCATTCGGAGCACATTTTTTTCTCTCACGTTTTTATAGTTAAGACATTTAATTGAAATGTAAAAATGTAGCATGAACACAATTAGTAATTATGTCTTCATCTGATTGTCAAACAAATCACTTCATAGGCGGCGTATACATTTCAAGTTTGGGGAAGCTTACAATTTATCCTACCATTTCTACCGATCTGCATGCCAGTTATGATTTTCATATGCACATTTTCATGGAACAGTTTCATTTAAATAATAACTTTTTCGTTTCTCAAAATCATTGTGACTTGTTAATCATACAAATCTGAATTAATCTAAAAGTTAAAATTCAATGCGAAAGCACCAGCCTCTGCCATATGGACACATTGATACACTGTGATCCATTGGCCGCTAAAGAAATTAGTGCATGCATGGAACTCAGCGATAGCCTGCCTATAGGCCAATGCAGCAGTAGGCCTATAATTTCCATTGTCAACTAAGTAAAAACACAAAGCCGAAAAAATTAAAACAGTAGAAAATATCCTGATGAAAATTCCGGTTATTTCAACCGCATTCATCTCTCTACTCCCCGTCTGTCTCCCTTTCTTTCTCTCTCTACTCCCTGTCTGTCTCCCTTTCTTTCTCTCTCTACTCCCTGTCTGTCTCCCTTTCTTTCTGTCTTGACTTTAACTATTGCGAGTGAAGTGCAACATTGTATCAAATCAATCAATTGGGTCCAGCCTGAAGCTGTCTCTCTACCAAACTTGCAACATTGTATCAAATAGCCTATTCCGGACCCTCAGAGTTTCCCATGCCAGTGAGCTCGGAACAGACAGCTGTTTTTGGGAAAAGTGTTCAGGTATTTCATGACGTTTCCACTGGATATATCGGATCATCAGATTATAATATTTTGCTCTTTCACACTGAGGCTTTGTGATTATGGAAGGGGAGTGTTGGAAAGGTTTTTCAAAAACTGTGAGGAACTATTTCATTCGTACTGGATGTTAAATAAACAGACTTTGTTGATTTACTGTGTGAGGTAAAGAAAAAATTACTGGGAAGCTCAGCTTATTAGTGGTGGACATGGTGAGTTAAGACAATCAGAAATCAGACATCCCCAAATGGGCACTTTCCAATTTTGCGCACAGCAGGCAAGGTACTCTTTTAGAAAATATCATGCTATCTGGAATCTAAAAGGGTCTTCGGCTGTCCCCATAGGAGAACCCCTTGAATAACCCTTTTTGGTTCCATGTAGAACCCTTTTGCTTCCAGGTAGAATCATTTTCACAGAGGGTTCTACATGGAACCCAAACTAGTTTTACCTGCAACCAAAAAGGATTCTACCTGGACCCAAAAAGGGTTCTCCTATGGGGACAACCGAAGAACCCTTTTGGAACCCTTTTTTCTAAACGTGTAGGCCTACTTCTATGGTGCTTAGGCCCGCGCGCTCCCTCAACAGAGAAACCAGACACATGCTCATTGCTCACATGGAGCACTCCAAACAAAAGACAATGAAAGAAGTCAAAACTCATAAATGATGGTTATGAAATAAACCAAAACGTGTTTCTCATAAGTGTAGAAGGTTTTGAAATCTGCAAACAACGTTTCCACTCTGAGAATGAGAACGGTAAATGACTAATTAATTCATGCATTAACAGAAATGAATGTAACCAAATGATGGGGATTAATGGTACATTTACTACTGGTGACATATGTAATGGGGAATTGATAAAAATTAACAATCAAAGTGCAAACAATTCATGCAATGAAACAATGAAGTATTTTGAATTATTTAATTTATTTATGTATAGACAGGAGTAAATATATAATGTTGAATTTCAATTTACTTTAAACCTATTGGACACGCTTATTCAAAAGGTTGGTTACCTTTGCACGTTCGTCCAAAATAATTCCAGCATCCGAACCGTACACTGTGCATCTGCCAACTTTCCTTCAATTCCCATAGCTGAAATTATCTCACTGGCGAAAGCATCCAGGAGAGTGAAACAGCACCCCTCTGTCTTACAATATGTAGCCCCAGCCAGGTCACCCGTGATACAAGTCAGTATTCAACGTCCATCCTCAGCGATACAAGTCAGTATTCGACGTCCATCTATGTCTGAGGAGGTCAGGAGATTACATGGAAACCGGCCACTAGTCGAAACAGTGAGCACCGTTACCTTCAAGTAGGTTTAGGCGGATGGGCGTAAGCATCTGCTTCTAGTGTCAAAGATTGCATCTTCAAATCCAGCTATAAATACTTATTTTGGAGATTTTTGTTTTAAGCCTAGCCCAAGCCTTAACCCTTAACTTAACCATTCGGAGTTAATGCCTAACCTTAAGATTTTGGAGATAATGCCTAAACTTAACCTTAAACACTTCGAAATTTGACGTTTGGAACAAGTTCGAAATTTGACATTTGAGGAACATGGATGAACGTCTAATTCATAGCCCATGTATCTGATGCGGCTGGCCGAAAAGAGTATGACATGCCATCTCTTTTTGATCAGACAGCATCTGATACATGGGCTACACATACTAAGACAGAGGGGTGATGTTTCGATCGATTGGATGCTTTATCTGAGATTGTTGCGTCTTTCTGTCGGTGAACGTCTCAGTCAAATAAATTATCAATATTTAAATATTTTATTTGCATGGGAAAGGGGGTACGGTAGTACGGCCCAGGCCCCCTAATGCCTGCCCATAACGCCGGCCCTGGGAAAGTAGCCTATAGCCCACTGGGCACAGACATCAGTTCAACATCTAGTTTTGATTTACATTTGGTTGAGTTGTCAACTAACGTGAATTCAATGTAAAATCAACTAAAACATTCACCATGTCATTGGATTTAGGTTAAAAGTTGGGTGAAAAAAATACATAATTTGCCTTACGTTGATGTCACACCAGCCTTCGCTTTGGCTCCCCCTCCTGTCCAGCTCAGGCGTTCGGCGTCGCTGGCCTTCTCGCTGCTGAGGAACCTACTGCTGGCAAACGCCCTTCACTCATCAACCCCGGACTTGTCTTGTCATCATTACAAACACCTGGTTCCTATCCCCACTCTATCACTGTATATATACTCCCTCTGCCAGTTGTCGGTCATTGAAAATGTTACTTGTTTTCCTGAGAGGAATCTCTCCTACTATTTCCTGAGTACTTTATTTTGCACTTTGGGTTCGCCCTGTGCCTTTTTGTTTATTAAGATATATTTTGAGCACAACAGCGTTTGAGTTTCGTCCCGCTTTGATCTATGGTGCTTAAATATATTCAGTAGTTCTAAACCTGTGACTGCCTCCTGCCTACTCCTCTCTACACCAGTGACAATTTATAACATTTCCAATCAGTTTTCCAAGTTGATTCAACGTCATCACATTGACTTTTTTGGGTTGAAAAGACGTGGAAACAACGTTGATTCAACCAGTTTTTGCTCAGTTGGAGTCTACTTTCTTCTGTTTCTCCAACTCAAT